CAAGTACCTCAACGGCTACGCCTACGACCTTGCCGCCAGGCAGAACGAGCAGACTGTGGATGCTCGGATGCGAGGGCTCCGCTACATCAAGCAGTACTTCAGCACCCTTGTCATGGACAGGATGGAGGATTGGAGGGCGGCAACTACCTACACCGATCCTGGCCAGGCCCATCCTGGGCTCCTCTGGATCGGCGCGTGTGCCGTCCTCGCTAAACCAGAAGGACGGCGGGCCCAGCGCCCACTAAGCTTCGGGCGGGTCCCCCTGCGCGCACGCACGGCTCCGCGCGTTCCCTGTCCGCGCCCGCGCCCGTGGGCGCGCTCGCGTGCGCGCCCGCCGCCGCCGTCTCGGAGGCACGAGCAGCCACCATGGGTCCTGGCTTCCGTGTAGGGAGGGGGGGGGGAGAGAGGGAGGCCGCCATACCATCCATTTGCCAACACTAAGTCTGGCGTGTCCTTCTACAGGGGGAAAATTCAAAAATTGTCTAGAAATACTCATGGGACGATTTTTGTTGACTATTTGTAGCATTTTTTTGCATTTTTTGAACTCTGTTTAGACATGTTCTCCAACATCCGCTTGTAGGAGGACACGCCTGACCTAATGCCAACCCCTGAGGCCGTAAAGGTCGGGAAGGGGGTGAGGGAGCGGCCGCGCCACCCAAGCGTTTGTGCTGCTGATGACGACATTGCATCTGGTCGGTATCGCTGTACTCGAGATACGTGTCTGTGGCGCTGATGTCAGAATACGAGGTATCGGCGTACCAGATCTACCATATGCGTAGCTCAATCAACATACGAGTAGGTACTGGGCGTAAAAAGGAAACAGTCCGCTGGAGTTCCGTAGTCAGTGGCTTCTGATAGGCCGGTCTCACCGTAACAATCGCGCCATCCGATCGTGCTCTGCATCGAACAGGTTTTCGTCCTGGAGCATGTCGAGCCAGAGATGGCCACCCCTGGCTGGCCTTCAGAGGCTGCGAGGTCGTATATGCCCTCGAACGAGTAGTCATTTTGCCTCATGTCGTAATGCTGGTAGGCTCGAGTCGTCTGTTGGTACATGATGGCGAGCCGCATTTCGGGGTACTTGTCGATGGGCTCGACGTTGGTACTCTTGAACGTGATAGCCACCGATCCCGATCGGAATGCCCACCGCTCCGTGGTGGTATTCCACGCGCCCAAGGTACCCTCGAGGCCATTGTGGTGCTTCTGGCCTTTGAGCACGATAATTCGGGCTGGCAGCTCCTTGTCGTAGCTTCGAGTGCTTCGGGTTGTTCTTGTGGCCCGGCCAGCTCTGGCGGCGGCCCTCGTAGCTCAGGCGGTTGCCCTCGTCGCTCCCCTGGTGGTCCTCGTAGCTCTGCCTGCGGCTCTCGTAGCTCTGCCTGTGGGCCCTCGTGGCTCTGCTCGCGGCCCTCGTAGATCTCAGCTTGTCGCCCTCGTGGCTGAGCAGGTGGCCTTCGTATCTGCGCCGGTGGCGCTCGAAGCTCTGCTCGCGGCCCTTGTTCCCCAGTCCAGCTCGCCGCCCCGGTTGCCCTCCGGGAGACTCTCGTCGCTCTGCGTGCGGACCGTGTGGCACAGCTTGCCCTCGTAGATCGGCCGGAGGCCCTCGCAGCTCGTCTGGTGGTCCAGGCCCCCGTAGCTCTGCGCGTGGTCCCGGTAGCTCAGCAGGTGCTCCTCGTAGCTCTGCTGGTGGCTCTCTGAGCTCAGCTGGTGGCTCTTGCAGCTGAGCTGGTGGCCCTCGAAGCTCTGCCTCTTGCCGTCGTCGCTCTGCCAGTGGCCGTCGAAATTCAGCTGATGGGTCTCGAGTCTGTGCTTCTCGTCGTTGAAGCTCTGCTGATGGCCCTCGAGGTTCAGCTGGTGACCCTCGAAGCTTTGCTTTTGCCGTCGAAGATCTGCAGGTGGCATGCTGGGAGGCAGGGTGAGGAAGCTGTACGCGGTGTAGTCGTCGTAGCCGTTGTACTCGAAATAGCCGTTATAGCCGCTGTAGACGTCGTAGTCGTCACAGTCGTCATCGTCGTACGCGGCGTGGCCGTGGTCGACAGGTATCTCTACGATGTACTCGGTAACCCCCTCTCGGGCTGTTCGGTTTTGTTGTGACTGGTTACTGGTGTCGTACTTTGTTGTGCTGTCGTACTTTGTGTCGTTTTGGGTGTCGTACTTGGTGTCTTGCTTTGTGTTGTACTTGCTGTCGTAATTGGACGCCATCGCGAGGGCGGCAAGGGCAAAGGTAATGATGTGGTCGGATCGCGGTTGAATCCCATGTCGGACGTTGTACCCCTCTCGTTCTTGGGCTGCGTCTGTTCGCGCCCGTACTATTCTGTGCGTGTATGGTCTCGGCATACTTGCCGGTAGGTCTACGCTAAAGTGGGCGATCAGGTCTCGTAGCTCGTATGTCACGTCGATCCTGATACTTTTTGCGTGGTACTGCGCTGACCTGGGTGACACTCCCGTAGTTCGTAACGTAGTTCACCTGCATCGGGAAGTACTTGGTGGCGAACGTATTGCACGGCGCGCCGGCCCCCCCCCCTCCTGCGGTTGGCGGGCAGCTCCCTGGGCGCAGTGCCGCAGTGGCCCTCCGGGGTCCCCTCCTCCGCCTCCGCCTCCTCCGCCTCCTCCGCTTCCTCCTCCGCCTCCTCCTCCGCCTCCTCCTCCTCTCTGTTTCCCTGCCCTCCCGCTTGAGTTGTTGTTCAGGCCCCTGGACGGGCCTCCAGAGCCAGGAGGCCTCCCTGCTTCCGTGCGCGCTCGGTCTCCGCTCCTGGTGTGGCTCGAAGCGGTGTGGCGACGGCGGGGCAGGGCACTGGTGGCGCAGGCGGTCGAGAGGAGCGCCACCTGCTGCTGCCTGGCGTAGACACGCCACTGGCCATGTAGGCAACGGCGATGTGGGTTTCGGTATTGTAGGTGTGGCTGGGTCGTGGGCAAACCACTTGTAGGAGCGCGTGGGTCGTGCTTTCTTGCAATGCACTGTGCTGTTTTTGCTCAGTATGTTCGCGTATTCGAGACGCAGGAAAGTGTGGCCCGTGATTTTCTACAGTTTGTTCTGCGTGACTTCGGCGTCGGAAATCCCGATATCACCATTAATCAACATCGCCGTTTGCGTGGCCTTGGCTCCAGGCAGCCTGGAGGCGGCGCCCCAAAAGGCAAAGATGTCGGCTTGTAGCTTCGGAGGAGGAGAAAATGATACCGGAGACAAAAACCCAATCAACACCTTTTTAGGGCTATAGGGCTATGGGGCTATAGGGCTATAGGGCTGTAGGGCTATAAGGCTATGGGGCTATGGGGCTATAGGGCCACAGGGTTATAGGGCTATAGGGCTATAGGGCTATAGGGCTATAAGGCTATGGGGCTATATGGCTACAGGGCTACAGGGCTATAGAGCTACAGGGCTATAGGGCTATAAGGCTATAAGACTATAAGGCTATATGGCTATAGGGCTATTGGGCTATTGGGCTACTAGGGCTACTAGGGCTATAGGGCTATAGGGCTATAGGGCTATAGGGCTATAGGGCTATAGGGCTATAGGGCTATACGGCTATAGGGCTATAGGGCTATAGGGCTATTGGGCTATTGGGCTACTAGGGCTACTAGGGCTGTAGGGCTATAGGGCTATAGGGCTATAGGGCTATAGGGCTATAGGGCTATAGGGCTATACGGCTATAGGGCTATAGGGCTATGGGGCTATAGGGCTACCGGGCATCCAAGCACCCAGGCACCCGGGCACCCAGGCACCCGGGCACCCGCGGGCGCCCGGGCACCCGGGCACCCGGGCACCCGGGCATCCGGCCCCGCCGCCGAAATCGGCGGCACACCTCACCTAACCACACGAATCCGCTCAGAGGCAAGCTCTGATTAGGGAAGTACCCATAACGCTACCCTCCCCTTGCCTTTTTGGGTCTCCTGCGAGGCCCTCGCCGCCACGGCCAGATTTGCTTCGAAAATCCAGAATGCACCCTGGGAGAGGTCCGGGGAGCAGCGGTATCGATGCCTTTTGGCCTCCCCTTAGTTGGCGTGGCACATCGGCCCCCAGTGCCTGAAGCCGCCTGCGCTTTCCTCGTGGCGACGACTCTCAACGCCTGAGGCCTCCTCCCGCTGTCCTTCTCCGCGGCCGCCGCCCCGCCTGCGGTACCCGCTCCGCACCCCTGGCTCCAGCCAGCCCTGCGGCCAGCCTCAGTGAAGCCGGCTCAGCAGCCCTGCCGCGTAGCCCTGCTGCTCAGCGCTACACCCCGCTTCGGCTTCAGCGCCCTGGCTTCTGGCAGCTCAGCTGGTTCCGCAGCAGCCCCAGCTCTCGCCACGCTGCGCCGTTTCAGTCGCGGTGCGCGAAGCCTCGCCAGCTCCGCCAGCCCTGCAGCTCGCTCAGCAGCCCCCGGCAGCTTTGCCGCCTGCAGCCAGGGAGCCCGGCGTTTGCAGCACAGCTTGGCTTCACCGCAGCATTTTGCTGCGCTGGGCTTGCCAGCGCAGTCCTCTTGGCCTGCACGCAGCTCCCTGGTGCCGCACCTGCAGCATTCTGACACCTGAGACGCAGACGTCCAGCGGATCATGCGGATTGCGCCCGCCTCCGTGGGCACGCCGGCTGCTCCTCCTCCTGCATCGCTTCGATGTGCTCCACGTTTTCACGCCTGCAGCCTCTGCCTCAGCCCCTGGGTGTGGCCGTGATACCTCCCCGCTTCCAATGCCTGGTTGCCTCAGCACAGGCTGGCCGCACCGGCCGCCCACGGTGTTGATCTTCGCGCCGTGAATGTCCCCCCCCCCTTCCAGCCTTCTGGGGCCGCCCTCCTCCACCCTTCCCCGTTCTTGCTGCCGGACATGTAGTGCCGTATCGCAGCCCGACCCCCTAGAGCGCGCGTGCGGATTGCCTGGGCCGCGCTGCGGCGGACGAAAAAGACTGTGTGCCCGAGGCCCTGGCGCGGCCCGCCCGCTTCCCGAACGCGTTGTGCGATCGCCGCCCTCGCCGCTGACAAAAAGTTGAGTTGGCGTTCTTCGAGAGGAGGGCGCCATCCTGAAGATAGAGATGAGCGAGGAGCCTCTGCACACGCAGCTGCGGCGCTGGGCCGCGCGCCCGAGCAGCGCGCCTCCGGCGCCCATCCCTCGCATGAAGGTCGTCGCCAAGGACCGGGAGACGTGTTGGTCGTGCCTCGGGCAGATCCACAGGCCCGCGGGCAAGATTGCGATGATCCACAAACATCCTATGCATCACAACAACCCAACTGAGTTCTTCGTAATTTTCAGCCCTTCGGGGTCCTTATTGGGCCTCGAGACCGCCAAAAAGCGACCCACGATGAGAAGCCCGCCCTGGGGAAAGGGTTCGGACTTCTGGGCCCCCCCATATTGAAAACAGGACTTCGTATGTCTTGGTCTCAGAGGAGGACAGGACACAGCTGCCGCTGCTCGTCCCTGAGAACCCTCGTCGCCACGGCTGGATTCACTCGAGATCCAGATCAGAACGCACCCAGGGAGAGATCCTGGGAGTAGCGACGTCGGTATTTTTCCTCACCGAGACCTGATCGCCGGTGGTTCCTCGGCGCAGTGCCAGGGACGTCTGCCAATGAGGTTTGCCCCGCCCTCGCCCTCTGGATCGGCCCCCCGGGCTCTTCCCTGGCATCAGGTCCCCGACCGGCAGGAGCCGACGTCGGTTGTCAAGGAGCCCGAGGCACCCGCAAGGTCAAAGGTGCCCGACACCTAGAACACGGGCGGGGCGCGAAGGTAGGCTCGCTTCGCGCGTTGCGGTCTGGGCCAGAGCAACTGCCCTTCCCTCCTGTCTCTAAGGCGGCCGCGCGGGGGCGCGAAGATGACCACACGTCGCACATCGCGAGGCGCGGTGCGCCAAGTCAGGTGGCTCTCTGTCTGGAGGCCTCATTCGAATGGTGCAGCTCAAGGGGCAGACCCCGAGCTAGGCCTGAAACTCTGGGCGTTTCTGGCTCTGCGGGCGTTTTTGAGTTCTCGAGGCCGTCTGGCCCCCCTCCTCTACCGCCCCCCCCCTCTTGTGTGTTGTATTCTGGCCGCTCTTCGGGCAGGCTGCCCGCTGAGTCCATGCTCCTGCACTCTCTTCTGCTCCTTCTCCCCCTGCTCCCCTGCTCCTGTTCAGTGGCAGAGCACAAGTTGGGCACAGAAAATCCTCCCCTGGGGATGTGATGAAGAGCCGTTTCCTGCTGTCAAACGGGATCTCTGGCGTTGACCCCCGGGTTGCCGCCAGAGGGGCTTCTGACGGCGCCGGGGAGGTGTTGGAGGAGCCGGGGTCGGGAAAGACAGGTGGAAAATTGGCACGGGAGAGTAAAGATCAATTTAGATGGAATGCTACAGACATTTTTCGAACACGCAGTATCACACAGCTCATAGCGATTGGAATGATTGTGCCACATCCTCCCCCCCCAGCTGCAGGCTGCTGCCGCCGAGGCCAGGGCGGCTGAGCGACTACATCTCCTCGCCGAAGGAGAACCTGTACATGAGCCTGCATACCACGGTTCTCATGGACGGCCGAGCGTGCGCCAGAGCCCCGGGCGCTTCTCCTCTGCAATGGAGATATGCACATATCCTCCTCCTCCTCCTCTTCCGCTTCTCCTCCCGCTCCTCCTCCTCCTCCTCCTCGTCCTCCTCCTCCTCGTCCCTTCCTCCTCGCTCATCCCTCCTCCTCCTCCTCCCTCCCTCCTCCTCCGCGCCTCCTTCTCCCTCCCCCCTTCTCCCCCCTCCTTCTTGTTCTCAGCTGCTCCGCTCCTTCTCCTCCTTCTCCTCCTCCTCCTTTGTTCCTCCGCTCCTCTTCCCCTCCTTCCCATCAGCCCGAAAAAGGATAACACAAAGACGAGTCAGACTAAAAAGACGAGTGCTAGGAATAAGCATCTCGATAATAGGAGTGGTACGACGACTATCAAAATCATTACGAGTAGACTCATCACACTATTGACTACAACTCGAATAATACGCCTACTAGTATCAATATTTGTACGACTACGAGTGGTACTAACCATAGTGAGCATACATGCCATAAGAGGAAGAACACGTTACCACAGTACTACGCGTTGTTGAAATTGTACGTCCGATTCATACTACGACTACTGATCATACGAGCACAACCACAACCACTGCTACTACTACTACTTCTACTTCTACTACTATCACTACTACTACTACTACTACTACTACTACGACTACTACTACTACTACTACTACTACTGTTACTGTTACTGTTACTGCTATTGTTACTACTACTACTACTACTACTACTACTACTACTACTACTACTACTACTACTACTACTACTACTACTACTACTTCTCTCACTCCTACTCGCACTACTTCTACTACTGGTACTACTACCACCACTACTGCTACTACCACTACCACTACCACTACCACTACTATTACTACTACTACTACTACTACTACTACTACTACTACTACTACTACTACTACTACTACTACTACTACTACTACTACTACTACTACTACTATATATACCCGTGCCCGTGCCAGTACCAGTACTACGACGACTACGACCACGACCACGACTACTACTACTACTACTACTACTACTATTACTACTACTACTACTACTACTACTACTTCTACCACTACTACTACTACTACTACTACTACTAATACGACGACTACTACTACTACTACTACTACTACTACCACTGCCGCTACTACCACTACTACCACTACTACGACTACGACGACGGCCACTACTACTTCCACCAGTCCTACTACTATTCTTATTATCATTTTTACTACTACTATGACTACTACTACTACTATTGTTATTATTGTTATTAGTAGTCGTTCTATCATTCGTACTACTACTACTACTACTACTGCTACTGCTACTGCTACTACTGCTACTACAACAGCAACTACTACTACTACTACCACTACTACTACTACTACTACTACTACTACTACTACTACTACTACTACTACTACTACTACTACTCTTCATGCTACGAACCGGAATATTATTCATAGTAGTCCCAATAACAGTGCTGCGAAGACAACGGATACTACGATTAGCCTTAGGCATACGGATACTACTCACAACGCCCGTAGCAATTCCAAAAACAACACTACTAATACTAAGACTAAACATGCCATCGATTAGACTAATACTCGGCACACTCTAGTTCTGTTGTTCTTAATACAACTATTGATGCTAATATCCTTCATATACGTGATACTATCACTAATCACACTAATCATGCGAGGGTCGTAGTAATATTACGCGTCTGCACATGCCTAAACGTTTGGAGCTCCGCGCTGACCGCTCGGATCGGCCCGAGGCACCACCGGGGGGGGGGTCCAGCGCCGATCCAAGAAGTCCTTGAGGACCTTCGAACATTTAGGCTTATCTAAAGGCTGCCGCCTCTGCCGCCGACCCCAACAGGTGCTTTCGCGGAACATATCTGGGCGTGTGGGTGCGATCGCGGGGCGTGTCGGGCTTTCCTCGGACCGCGCCTGGGGCTTCGAGGGCGGTTATGGGCGTATCTGGTGTGTCGGCGCGCCCGGCCCTTCCCCCTCTCTAATAGAAAAGGCTTATGGACCCCCGGGGGGGGTCCATTCAAGAATTCGTACCCAGAGGCTCCAAGAGGCTGCCAGTGTCAGGGATGGTGGGGCCATGGTGGGGGGAGTCCCGGACGGTTTTTGCAGGGTGGTGGTCCCCACAGAATCTGTTCCCAGAGGCTCGAGGAGGTTGCAGTGTCCTGGGTGGTGGGGGCATGGTGGGGGTGGTCTCGGACGTTTTTTTCCAGGGGGGCTGACTCTTCTCTCTTCCAGACATGTCTAGATAGCCCAGTAAAGGTACGGCAGAAGTCGTTAAGCTCTTGACGATCTCCCCCCCCTCTCTCTGACTACCTGCCCCCCCCCTCCCCCCGTCCCGTGACAGGACGGGGCACCCGTGGAGGTGTACATCAAGAGTACCGAGATGGATTGGGCGGCAGACTTAGACGACCTACTTCCTCCTCCTCCTCCTGCTCCTGCTCCTGCTCCTGCTCCTGCTGCTGCTCCTCCTGATCTTCCTCCTCCTCCTCCTCTCCTCCTCCTCCTCCTCCTCCTCTCATTGCCCGCTCTGTAGCCGTTTTGGCTCAAGATGATCGCTTCCTCGGCGGAACGCGCGGATACCTCTGGTCAGAGGCAGCTTTCCATAGCTCGTCCAGGTTTGCTCTCGGAGTGAGCCCGCACACCAGCGTGTGCGGGCTCTTCCATACTTTTCCTCTCCCTGGTGGCATGGCTGCTGCTGACGGTTTAGGCTGGGAGCGTAGACTTTGGGTGCAGCAATAGTGGCCTCGTCGATGGGGAGGCACCGATCGCGTTCCATAGAACACGTTATTCGAATCGAAGCGATACACATGGGGCAAGTTGCCCAGCAACGAAGAATGGTACACAGTGGCGGCCAAAGGGAACTTGGCTTCGTTTCCATTGCAACTGTCGCAAAACCCCATGGGAGCCTTGTGCTGCAAACATTGTGGTCAACGGCTTGGCTCATATCCTTCCACGCAGGCTCAGACAGCGAATAGGTCAGCAAAACACGAGCGGCAAGGGTTTCGGAGCCGACCTGTCACCTGCCCTTCCCCTGGGCCCTTTCCTACCATTGCGCGTGATAAGGCTCAGCAGCTTCATCAACTCGCTCAAGAGCTGGAGGCACCGAAGGAGCGAAGCGTTACGCCGCCCTGGCAGCTTGCCCCGGTCTCTCGAAGGGTGGCGCTCCTACCTGACAGCATGTTGCCAAGGCTGAGAAGCGACAGGAACATTTCGAGAAACGCATCACCACACAGTACGAGAAGATAGAGAAGTTGAGGCCCTCTATTAACGATTTATCTTTTCTCATCAAGGAGCTCGAAACAGACGTTCAAGCAACGGACCGAGAGGTGCGCGACGCCGTACAGGACATGCAACATCAGCATGATGGCGCCGACGCGAGCCGAACGACCCCACCAGCACAGATCAGCCCCCGCACCGCAAGCTGAAGGAGGCACGGAGTTGGCATCTTTCAGTTCGTGTGGCGATGTCATCGGCGTGGGGTTTGTCAAGGAAGGGTATGGCATCGACGAAATCAACTTGGTCTGGATTCGGAGAGGCCTGTACCCCGATCGTTCAGGCCCATTCGAATACGGTTCTTGAGGCCGCACACCAGAATGCGACCGAGACTGCCGTGCGTGACGCCAACCGGCAGGTGCCTTTTGCCTCCCCACTGCGCGGGCGTGGGAGTGCCCTCAGCTGCTTTTGGGACCGACCGCCTCCGTGGCCAAACCCGAAGATGCGCCAAATTTACGTCCACCGCCAGCGGCGGCAACTTCTTGCACTGATCTTCGTTGATGCGCGGGCCGAGGGACCCTTGCAGAGCAGGAACCGATCGGGCCGATCGAGCCCTGCCCAGTTTCCGTTCCCGAGGACCGTCACAGGTGTTCCTTTTTGTATTCATGGCCCTCTGGCGGGAAGATGCCCAGCCGGAGGAGGTGGAGGGGCGCCGACAATCAGCATCGAATCTCAGCTGCCGTCGAGCACGCTGCGGCCGGTCTTGGCCGCGGACCCCGCGAGTGGTCCCGGCCCCTCGAGACGCAGCGCCAGCGTCAGTGCATCCACGCGCAGCGCCACTACTACCTGCGCGGGGCCTCATTGGACGACTACACGACAGAGGGGGGTGGCGAAGGAGGAAGACGCGTGGAGTTGCATCCTTGTCCAGGGGTGCGTGAGGCATTCTTGAGCTTCGATGAGGAAGCGTCTGGCGATAATTTTTCGGGCGTTTCCCACGTAGTCGTGCTTGCCGTAGCTCATCCTCAACGCCGCGGGCGGTCGCGTCAGCTACGACCGCGACGCCGTCAGGCTGAGCGACGAGAGGAATAGAAGACCGCCCCGAGCTCCCAGCACAGCAGTCTCACCCATAAGGAGGAGACCGACTAATGTGATTAAGTTACCAGATCGCCAAGTTTCGCGGGCAACCGCGATGCGGAAGTCGAGCGTGCGCGTGAGCGCTGCTCCCGCCAACTGTCGGTGGAGTAGCAGCTCCCGCCGACTGTCGGTCGAGCAGCAGCTCCCATCAGTCCATGCTCCACCACTTGTCTACTGCCAGGCAACTGTGTGTTCAAGGGCGGTTGGTAAAGCCCTCTTCGCATATGTTCTGTTGGGAAGGTGCGGTCAGTGAAGCATTTTGCCGAAACCTTTTTTTCTGGCCTCGCGGGTTCCTGCGCGGTTTGCGCGCGGGGCCGACGAGGCGCAGCGGACTCGTTTGAACGCCGGACTCGAGCGGTAGTCCACCGCCTTCTCACCCTTTCCCTGACTGGCTTGCCGCGGTGCTTCCATGGGCGTTTGGCTCAGGGGAGCTCCCCGCGTCACCGTGTTATACGCCTTTAGACATGTGTTAACCACTCGTGTTCAGGTAACATGATCAAGCTCCTTGCCATTCGCATCTTACATCCGTTTCTCTGGTTCTGCCTCCACGATGTAATCAAGTCATTTGTCAGGGGGGCATGATGGTGATGGGGAGGATGAATGGGGGCCATTGTAAACCCAAGACTCATCGACGATGTTGGAATCAACCCTCCTTCCATGCTCCCTTTTTTACAAGGCCTTATACACATTGTTTCTTCTGAGGGGAGGGTCCCGTTGGGGGCGACCGTTTGAAGATCCCGAGGCGTGACGAAACACCAGTTTCGGAGCTTCGACGCCACGAATCAATCTGAATGTTGCATTCTTGGCGATCTTGAGGCGTGCCAGAGCAGTTTTCCTGGGATTTCAACACCGAATCAATGTACCTGTTGCGCCTTGACGAGCCTGAATCGCTCCCAAACGCAACACCTGGTACATTAGCAATGGGAACCCGTGGAACCCTTGGAACTTTAACACGAATGCGCGCGGCGCTACGGAGAGAAACACCTTTTTGGAAAAGGGACCATTCTCAATCCGCGGAACTCCAGCACATCGAGCAACAACGAGCGGCTGTGCGCGGCGCTAAAGCGGCAACCGCATTTGGAAAATGACCCGCCCTCAATGTGTGAAGCGGTTGCATGTTTTAACGAATGTGCGTGGCGTTCAGGCGGGAACCCTGTTTTGAAAACCAGCCGCCTTGCATCCGTGAAGCTCTTGCATTTTCCCCCACATCCTAAGCGGGGCTTTTTTTTCTGTGGACACCCCGCGCAATCCTCACATCCCCCCTCTCTCCCTCCTCATCACTCACCCTCACTCACTCATTCATTCTGTCATCATCAGCATCATCATTTTCATCAATCGCACACCCACCTACATTCACATTCGTTCAATTTCACACTTACGCACTCGCTTCTCATCGTCATCATACGCATCATCACTCACTCACTCATTCAGTCACTCACTGTCGTCACTGTTGGGCTCCTCAGGCCTGAATATGGAGGAAGTATCAGGAGGGAGTCTCGTCTGTGAGTGAATTGCGAGGAGGTCTCAGGCGGGAGCTCCCAGTGGGCCCCGCGGATCATGTTGGTAATCCGACGCGGGTCATCCAATTCTTCTAGCTGTCGTCATTTTTGGGCTCTTCAGGCTTGAATATGGAGCAAGTGTCAGGCGGGAGCTTTGTCTGTGATTGAATTGTGAGGAAGTCTCAGGCAGGAGCCCCCTCCCTATGGGCCCCGCGGATCATGTTGGTAATCCGATGCGGGTCATCCGATTCTTGTAACATTCGTCAGTTTTGGGCTCCTCAGGCCTGAGTGTGGGAAAAACTACCAGGCGGGAGCCTCGTCTGTGAGTGGGTTGTGAGGAAGCCTCAGGCGGGAGCTCCGTCCCTATGGGCCTCGCGGATCATGTGGGTAATCCGATGCGGGTCATCCAATTCCTGTAGCTGTCGTCACTTTTGGGCTCTTCGGGCTTGAAGATGGAGGAAGTATCAGGCGCGAGGAAGTCTCAGGCGGAAGCCCCTTCCCTATGGGTCTCGCACTTCATGTCGGTAATTCATGCGGGTCATTCAATTCCTGTAATCGTTTGTTTTGGCGGGAGTTTTGTCTGTGAGTGAATTGTGAGGAAGTCTCAGGCGGGAACTCCCTCCCTATGGGCCCCGCGGATCATGTTGGTAATCCGATGCGGGTCATCCAATTCGTTTAACTGTCATCAATTTGGGGCTCCTCAAGCCTGCATATGGAAAAAATATCAGGCGGGAGCCTCGTCTTGGAGTGAGTTGCGAGGAAGTCTCAGGCGGGAACCCCCCTCTTTATGGGCCCCGCGGATCATGTTGGTAATCCGATGCGGGTCATCCAATTTTTCCAGCTGTCGTCACTTTTGGGCTCTTCGGGCTTGAAGATGGAGGAAGTATCCAGCGGGAGCTTCGTCTGTGATTGAATATTGAGGAAGTCTCAGGCGGGACCCCCCTCCCTATGGGTCCCGCGCTTCATGTTGGCAATCCGATGCTGGTCATCAAATTCTTGTAACTGTCGTTATTCTTGGGTCTCTCAGGTTTGAATTTGGAGGACGTGTCCAGTGGGAGCCTCGTTCGTGAGTGAATTGTGAGGAAGTCTCAGGCGGGAGCCCCCTCCCTATGGGTCCCCCCGCACTTCATGTTGGTAATCCGAGCGGGTGGAGCCCCTAGGCCCTCGGAGAAGGAGGAGAAGGAGGAGGAGGAAGAGGAGGAGGAGGAGGAGGAGGAGGAGGAGTGTGAATCGTTGCCGCTGCACGTGAGCCCCATGAACCCCACTTTTTCTTTTATGTCTCGTGTTGCACGTCAGTGGTCGGGCGGGCTTCCGTTCGATAGTTTGCGTCGTCGTGAGGGGCACCTTTCGATCGATACAGCGCGGGACAGGATGACCAGAGGTAAGCAATGTAGTAGTGTGGAGCATGTTCTACATAGCTGTATTGTATCCGTCCGATTCCATGAGAATTCCCAGAACCTAGGCTTACACCCCGAAGCGCGCAACGCCGTTGCGAACAAATCTGCTGGCGCGAGCGGCCTGCTGAGGGGAAGTGCGCAACGCCGGT